AGAGGAAGGGCTTTGGGAATTGAGTCCAGGACCTCACACATGCTAGGCAAGCACTCTGCCACTGAGCTATATCCTTAGCCTCGTTATTTTGATTTTAGTTTTTAAAATGAAATAATGGCACATTCTAATCTGTCCTTTTACTTTCTTAATACCTATAAAGGCTTATCTTATTATGATGTATTTTTATAATGTGTTTTTAGATGAGAATAATCTACCAACCTCTTCAACTTTGTCTTTGAATGGTTTTTAGTTTAAGTCAACAAGGAAAAAAAGAATAAAAATGATAATTTATGGATAATATATCTGTGTGCAATTTTAGGCACTTTCCTTGGATTGTTTCTTGTATCTTCACAGCAATTCTATAAGTAGATCTCATTATTTCCACTTTACAAGTCAAGAAATAGAGGCAGAGAGTATTAAAACCCTTTCCCAGGCCATGTGACTAAGAAGCGGGAAGCCAGAATTGAATCCAAATTCCTCCTTGCCAGCTGGACTTCTCCTCCCTCATGGAGTGCAGAACCTCAGGCTGCTGTTTGGGGGAGAGCTGGGAACTTTCCTGAAAGCAAACTTGGCCCTCTTTTATCAATATCCGTATAGCTAATGATCAAATCCTCTGAGGACCCAAATGTTCTTCAGTGGAGGAAAGATAAGTAAATTGTGGTATGTTCACATGATAGGTTATCACTTGGACATAAAAAGAAATGAAGTACTAATAAGTGCTGTAACTTGAATTGCCCTTGAAAACATTAAACAATACACATAATATATGATTTAATTCATATGAAATTTCAGTACAAGAATCTATAGAGACAGAAATGTTTACTGTCAGGGGGTAGGGCATAATGAAGTAATAACTAAAGAATATGAGATTTTTCTCCTTTCTTTTCTCCTTCTTTCCCTTTCTCCCTCCACTTCTTTTCCTTCCATCATTCCTTTCTCCTTTCTCTATTTCTTCTCTTTTCTTCCTTTTCTCACTCTTTCTTTCTTTCTTCTCCTCCTTCTCCTCCTTCTTCTCTTTTTCCTTTTTTAGACAGAATAACCTGACTAAGATTCCTTCTACTCACAATTCTCCTACCTCAGCCTCTCTAGTAGCTGAGATTACAGGTATGCATCACTATATCTGGATGCAATTCCTATTGAGGTGATAAAAATATTTTAAAATTCAGAGTGCTGATGGTTACACATATTTGCAAATGTACTACTAAAATTGAATGTTAAGTTTAAATGCATGGATCATACAGTATATGAATTGTATCTAAAAAAAACCAAACCTGTTTTTTGTCTTACCTCACCCACAACCCCATTCCAACCCCTACCTCCACATTAATAAATCTAGGCTGGCTCTTTGCAAATCTGTATTTTACTTAGGGTACCCTAGGGGATTCTTATGGTAATATATGTTTGACTATCACTGCTTCAGAAAGGGATTGGGCTAACCAAGAACTAACCTAGAACAGGGCCAAACTGCCAATCCAGAATTTCACAGTAGACCTAGGTCTTGATAGGCAGCAAATACTTGATAGCCATAAAATACTTTTCATAAAATGATATTAATCTGAAAGAAATGAAATTGATGAGCTTTTAACTAATGTTTAATTGTATTCCATGATTATAAATATTTAATCAGGTGCATTTTACTACTCAAATATAAACATTTATGCTTTGAAGAGAGGTCTATATTTTATTATACTAAAATTTCAAATGCTTTTCAGTTTCTTTAGATTGTGATAAGTTTTTGCTGACTAAACAGCATCACTTCTTAGTAGAGGTCCAATGCTACAATTTGACCCCTTCTGGCAAATTAAATACCATTATGCAAACTACTAGGATTTGGAGCTAATCTAATTAATACGGTACATATGTAGCGGATAATAATTTCCCTGGTGGAAAACTGGATTGTCTTATTTCATGTGTGAACTATGATTTAGAAATACATTTACTATGCAAGGAAAATTTTATTATCTTGTGTATTCTGTCTGTTCACCTCTATAATAGACATGTTAGAAAAATAAAGTCAAAATTATAATCTTCAAATGATAACATATTTTCTCAGAAATTTATAATTATCAAGGTGGATATTCCATAAAACTAGAAAAAATGCAGATTTCATTTACAGGTACTGCTTTTTCTCTAGTAAAGTGAAAAATTAACACTACTATAATTTTTCTTTTTATATGGCTACAAGCGGTGTCAAATGTAATTTAATGGAGATAATTCTGTTCATTTACACTTTAAAGTTTAAGCGTTTAAAATTGACCTGGATTAAATGCATACCAATAAATTTCAATCACAAACTTTCTGAATGATATTTATAATCCTGAGATTGAGTGCACTCTTGTTTAAATGTATGAATTCCATTAGCATTAAATCAGTGTGCTACATGGGTACACTGAGCAGAAATCAGGAAAGGATTTTTTTAGTTCTCCTTGCCAAGAAAATTAAATAAATTAGTTGTCTCATGCAGAGCAAAGAGAATATTTTCTTTTTCCTTTATCCTACAAAAGTGAATTTCATAGTTAAGAGAGATCCTGGCTTGATAGGAAACGTACAGGATAAGGAAGGAAAGTCGAGAGTTTCTCAGGCCTGTGCCTTTGGTGCAGAATTATTGTTTCCATGCCTGTGAACACAGCCCTTGCTCATTTGTTCTTTAGCTTCTCAGGGGGACCACCAGCAACTTTCGGGCTGTTGTTTGCGCAGATTTCCAGCCCATGAGGAGCTGTATTTTCTTCATATGTAATGTAAATGTTGTAGAGCCCTCAAAAACAGTGACAAGGGAATAACAACTTTGGAAAGCAGTAGCCTGTGTTAGTCCTCTTCTACTAAATAACATTTCTAAGTATCATTAGTGGCTATTTCATTACACGAGGGCTTCCCACATCGGGATGGGTCAGGGGGGTGGTACAGAGTCACACCAAAGAAGAGTGCAGGGGACAATAATTCATATGTTTATGTAGATTTTATCACATATTATTGGAAATGCAACCATTGTATAGTGACAGAGGAGAGCCTCGTATTTTATATTAAGAACAAAAATAAGACATCTGTATCTTGGATTTGCTTCAGAATAATCTGGAGTAAGATGAATAGGTGGGCAAAGATGAAATAAGATGAGTTGTGAATTGACAAGTATTTAAGCTGGGTGATAGATAAATGGAGATTTTTTTATAGTCTTTTCTTTAACTTTGCATTTTACAACATTTTTCCTGATAATGAGCTCAAGGTTTATACACACAAAGGTTGGGAAATCATTTTATACTAAATTTTCAAGAGCTGGGAGTGTAGCCTAGTGGTAGAATTCATGCTTAGCATGTGCACAGTCCCAAGTTTGATTCCCAACACCAATAAAATAAAATCTAGTTTAAAAACTCATTGGATACCTAATCAATGACAATTTAAAAGCAGACAAGTCATTAAAGGCAAAGGTTAAAGTGGTTTATTAAAAACAACCTGAGACATACGTTGTCAATCACTTACTATGTGGGAGTCCAGGTTTACTGTTTTGACACTGAACATAGTTTTTATCTTACACTTAACATTCAAAGGGAAAACATGGCATTTGTGTACTCATAATATAAGTTGTATTGATTGAGAAAACCCCCCAAATTAAAATGCATTTCTCAGTTACCTGTTAAACTCTTTTCCCTTAGTCTTTCTGTTTCACTTTCAGCCTCTATTTCTTTCTAATGTGAACCTACTTATCTGAAGTTTGAAGATAATGACCTATTTCAAATGTAAGTGGCAAACAAACTTTTTGGTCTATTACTCACGAGCAATTCGTCTTCAGCAACTGTTCCACTTTTCTTAGTTTTGGCAAGCTATTCAGAACATTTCCTTCTTCTCATTCTGATGCAGGGCGATTGTTTGGGGCTGATAGGGCATTGACTTTTCCCATAATTTAGCTTAGACTGTTTTACACTAGGGATTTTTACAATGTGTTTAGAATGTAGAACTTTTTCCACACACTTTGGTAACAGACTTTCATTTTCTAGTAGACCTGCTCTGAATTTTCATTAAACTTCAATTCCATATTAACTTTGATGATTTATGGTCAATTTTCCCCAAATATAAATTAAAACATGCTGATTGTCATTTCCTGTTTGATGTGATGTTTTTCCTGTGTACAATGTCAATTTTTCTTTTACTTAGGCATGGGAGATTCCTTCAGGGTAAGTAACTTCCTAATTAGTCATTAAGAACAACTCCTGGAAAACTGTGATGTAATCCCACTTATCAGCCAGGTGAGTTATGCTAAGGGTCAAGGATCCTGTGATCATAGGTATGTGTGTTCCTTTAGTAGATAAGAAAATTATACTGTGATTTACCATATACATCACATAAACTTGTGAGATTACTGTATATCAGCTTGCCACATTCTTATCTTTTGCCTGATATGCACAATGATCTGGCCAGGAGGTTGCAATATACAGTAGAGAATCAGACAACTATAGATATAATGACTGAAACAAAAATATTGAGGTTGATCTTCTTTGCCTTAGCAACGAGTTGCCATGATTTGTATACCTCACTGTCATTTGCTTTCTTCAGATTTTAGAGAGAGCTCTAAAATATTTGCATTTATTACACAAATATTACAAACGGTGATGCATTCTTATGGCACAGTGGTCTTTAAACTTTCCTGCTCACATAGAGACAAATTGAATTTTGAAAAGTTTTGTGTGTCCTGCTTGCATATTGTATCATAAGTTCAAATAGTGGTAGAAAATGTAATTTTCTTCTTATTGTAAATATTCTACTTAAAATAAATGTTATATCACTTTTAAAAGTAACTAATGTGTTCTAAATACTTTAGCAATTTAAAATTGCCTTACTAGCCATTTAAAAATTTTAAAATACATTTAATTTAAAAATAAACCATTAAATCTATTAGATGTTGACATCATTTTCCTCTTAAATTCCTGTTTCCATTTTATTTCACCATGGAGTTTTATTCTAATATATGTTAATGCTTAAACTGGCATGATGATGCTATCATACTTACTTTAACACATATGTTTATGTAAATTAAAATTTTAAATTTTAAGAATTTCCTGTAATCATGGTACTCAAACTTCTTTTGGAGTGGGTCATGTTATAGTTAGTATTAGTATTGAGTTAATCCAAATGACAAGAAGTTATAATATTCAACAATTATCAAACTTAAGAATTAAATATAATTTTACTAGAAAACCATCTTTTGTGAAATAAATGAGGTGAATTGGGCTTTTCAATGATTTTTAAATTTTGCTTCTATATTTTCCTTATATTTTACTTTATAGTTATTTTGTGTATCTATTCTTGAATAGTTATTGCTTATTACTGGGCTGAGACAGACTCAGTATCAATACAATCTCTGCTTTTTATTTTTATAGACCCATTTCCTGAAGTCTTGTTTATACATGTAAGTACTGAAAAAGGAATTTTTCTAGTTTTTAAATGAAAACTTTCTTAAAGTTAGAACTGTTCCCACATCATATACCCAAACTCATTTAGTAATCTTTCATCAAAAATAAAATACGGATATTCAGTGGACAATTTAATGAGGTGTCCCACTGGACAACTACTTCCTACTGCCTTTCTTCTGGGATCTCTGTAGGAGAAATTGAGATCTCAAAAAAATCACCAAGACCTCCCAGATCCCATTTTCCTATTAGCGTGAGAGTGTTTTTTTCCTTTTTCCTTTGCTTTCTCCTTCACCTCCTTTTCCTCCTCCTCTTTCTCCTCCTCCTCCTCCTCTTCTCTCTCTCCCTCTCTCTCCCTGGAATTGAACCCAGAACATCCAGCATGCTAGGAAAAAATCCTTCCATTAAGCTTCATCTGCAGCTCCTGCATACAATTTTGATTGCTGCTGCTTCTCTGTAGCCAGACAATAGGTGGACAGCAGGCAGTACATCCATAGACTGGTTCCTCCAAATGCAGAGGTGACCCTGCACCAAAATGGAACCACAACTGCTTCTAAGAAGCCAGATGAGTGGAGACCAAGCACTAGGTGCTCTTTCTATGCTAGTGTTACATTTTTTTGTGCTCACCTCTTCTGTTAACTGTTGGTACTATTAATGTGTGCTTCAGCGCTTTCCCCCTTGTTACACACATTAAATGGCATTGGACAAGAGGCACTTCCACAGTCTTCTGCCAGCTGGACTGATCCGAGACAACATGCACTGGAGAAGGGAGATTGGATAAATATGGACATAGTTGAAGATACAATGAAAAAGAGAATCTAAGTAATTCAGCCTGTTCACTGAATAAATTTAGACAAAATTAGGGATTTTAAAGAAGTATAAGGAAAAAATGACTTAATAGATTAACAAACACTGTGCAGCATTCTTTGGCATATTAATGTTTTGTTTTTATTTAAATAAAATGTCAATTAGCAATATTTATATGGTAAAAGTTAGAAAAGAACCAAATATGTCTTAAGAAAGCTTTCACTGTATCTTTTTCTATTTTTTTGTTTCAAATTTCACTTTAATTGATTGAACAAAATTTTGTTTCAAATCAATGCTACCCAACAACCATTGAAATAATTTTAATTATCTAATACTGAGTGAAAACTTCCTTTCCAGGCTCATTGTCAATCAATTTCCACTTGAAGATAGGATTTGATGACATTTAATAATGGCTATCTTGATGCAAAGGTTGAGAGATGTGTACCGAATTCAGTTGACATTTATTCTGTACCCACTGAGAGTGTAACTGTGGTTTTAGATGTGAGGCACTTTATGGATCTGAAGGGCTCCTCAGAAGTGAGACTTCTATGAAGAAAATGCAACCCTACCCATCAGTGGCTGCAGCCTCTAGCTTTTGTATGCTTTCTATTCAAATTAGGCAAATATGTTAATCTTTATTTGTGCTCAGGTCAGAGGAGCTGTCACATCAAGTCAGTGACAAAGCAATCAGCCAGGAACTTAAGGAATAGGAGAATGGATGTAATGAAAACTAGCTGTCTTAGTTACTTTCCTTGTTGCTGAGACCCACTGGCTCACAGTTACAGCCCATAGCTGACTGGTTCCAAGGCAGGGCCGCATGACAGAGGAGTATGACCCATGGAGAAGCTGTTCATGTTTGCTCACATCCAGGTGGTTGGGAAGCAGAGTGTGGAGGGCCCAGCTACAGAGGCAGATATATTTATCCAGGCCACACCCCCAGTGACCTGCCTATTGGCCAGACCTCTCCTCCTAACAGCAAATCAGCTATTAATTCCCATAATCCAACCAGATTTTAAAGCACTACCTTTGAATTCATGAGGCTTTGAGGGTTCATCTACATATAAACCATAATATTTCATCCCTGGTCCCCCACAAAGAGTCATGCATATCTCTTTATGCAAAATACATTCAGTCAGTCCATCTTTTAAGAGTTGCCAAGATCCTAACGCTTCCAGCACTACTGAAAAGTCCAAGTTCAAAGGCTCCTCTGCGATGCAAAGCAAATTCTTACCATGACCCCTTGTAAAAACTCAAAAAGAAGTGCCAATTTACAATGGCACATGGTAAACACTACTATTCCAAAAGGGAGAAATAGAGGGATAGAAATCAGTGGGACCAAAGCAAGACTAAAACTCAGCAGAGAAAACATTAAACCCTGTAGTTCCATGTACAACACACAGAGCAAGCCATGGTGACATATGTATTCCAAAGAACTTAGGTGACACTGCCTTTACAGCATCACTGGTGGTCACAGTTCTCATGACTCTCTGTTGGGCTTACTTTGCTCACTCCTGTGGCTTTCCTCTGATGTTCCACATTCCTAGCTTTTCCAACTTCTGGTGTCTCCATTGCACTTTTGACTTCACTCTCACAGCTTCATGCACTATTCTATGAGAGGCACATTGCCTGGCCTCCCAGACTGTCTTCTGAAATCTGGGTGGAAGCCTCTGTGACCCAACAACTCTATTCTGAATGCCTGTAAAGCCAGCATGTGTGAATGTTGCCAGGGTATGTCAATAGCTGTAGCAGTAGGCAGGCCCTTTTGCATTATGGCTGCAAGGGCCTCAGAGTGCCTGGATAGCTTAGCACTTTGAACAGCACTCCAAGGACCCAATTTCCTAGGTGATCTTTCTTTTTTTAAAAAAAATTAATTTTATTGGTACATTTTAGGTATACAACACAATGACATTCATCATTGGAAATTTGCACCTTTACATAATATATATTGGTTCTTATTTTTTTTCCCATTCCCCTGCCCTCCCTTCAACCCCTCCACTCTTCTCTATTTACAAAGACTTTGTTTCCATTTTCTCACTTTCTCATATTAATTCCATTCCCTTCTTTCTTTTCCCCTACCCCTCCCACTTCCCCTTACCCTTTGCACCTTTTCTTCCTATTTCACATTATTTATTATACCTTTTGATCCTTATTTACACAATTTTTCACACCAGAGAAACTATTCGGTATTTACACATGTGTCCTATTTATTTCACTTAAGAGTATGGCCTCAATGTGCATCCATTTAGCTATAAATGTCCCTAATTTATCATTCATTATGTCTGAGTAGTACTCCATTTTATTAAAAAATAACACATTTTCTTTATCCAGTCTCCAACTGATGGACAAGTGGGCTGTTTCCAAGTTTTAGCTATTACACACTATGCTGTTATGAACATGGGTGCACATATATCGCTATGGTATGATTCTTTTAATTCTTTTGTGAAGATACCCAGCAGGGAAATAGCTGGGTCAAATGGAACCTCTAATGCTAGTTCTTTGAGGTATCTCCATACTGTTTCCACAGTGGTTGCACCAGTCTACACTCCCATCAACAGTGGAGAAAGGTTCCTTTTTCTTGACAGCCCCACCAGCATTTGTTATTGGTTGATTTCTTGATAGCAACCATTCTTTCTGGGGTGAGGTGAAATCTCTGCATTGTTTTCATTTGCATCTCTTGAATGTTGAGCATTTTTTAGTATGTTTATTTGCTATTTGTACTTCTTTGTCTGAGAAGTGTCTGTTCACTTCAGATGCCCATTTTTGGATTGGATCTTTAAATTTGAGAGGTCTGATTTTTTTAAGTTCTTTATAGATTCTAGATAGTAGACCTTTGTCTGAGGAACAGCTGGTAAAATTTTTTTTTCCCCACATTGTGGGTTGTCTCTTCACTCTGTTGGTGGTTTCTCTTATAGTGTAGAAGCTTTTTAATAAGAAGAGATCTCACTTGTTAATTCTTTGTACTAGTTCATGTGCAACTGAGGTTTTGTTCATGAAATCTTTTCCTATGCCAATGTCTTCAAGAGTTCTACCTAAACTTTCTTCCAGGTGGTTTAATGTTTCTGTTTTAATATTTAGATCTTTAATCCATTTCGATTTTAGTTTAGTGCATGGTGAGATATAGGTCTAGTTTTAATCTTTGGCAAGTTGAAACCCAATTTTTCCAGTACTTTTTATTACAGAGGCTATCTTTCCTCCAGTGAGGGTGTTTGGCTCCTTTGTCAAAAATGAGGTGGCTGAGTGTGTCTGTAGCTGTTTCTGTGTCTTCTAATCTGTTCCACTTGTCCTTGTATCTGTTTCTTTGCCAGTACCATGCCATCTCAGGACCTTGCACTTGTAAGGCAGGTGGCAGAACCACTGAGCTAAATCCCTGGCCCAGTATCGTGCTGTTTTTAATCACAGTAGTTTTGCAGTATAGTTTCAAGTTGGGGATTGTGATACCCCCTACCCTGTCTTTGTTGCCTAGAATTCCTTTGCTATTCTAGGTCTCTTCTTGTTCCAAATGAATTTTTGGATTGTTTGCTCAAGGTCCTTGAAGTATGCTGCTGGGATTTCAATTGGGATTGCACTGAATGTATATAGCAGTTTTGGAAGTATGGGCATTTTCACTATATTGGTTCTTCCTACCCAAGAACAAGGGATGTCTTTCCATTTTCTGATATCATCTTCAATCTCTCTTTTCAAAGTGCCATAGTTTTCAGAGAAGAGGTCTTTGATTTCTTTCATTAGATTGATTCCTAGGTATTTCATTTTTTTGGATGCTATTATGAAGGGAGTTGTTTCTCCCATTCCTCTCTCAGTGAGTCTGTTGTTAATGTGCAGGAAAGCTATTGATTTTTGTGTGTTGACCTTGTATCCAGCTACTCTACTGAATTTGGTTATTAAGTCTAGAATACTTTTGGTGGAGTTCCTGGGGCCTTATATATAGAGTATCATGTCATCTGCAAATAATGACAGTTTAACCTCTTTGTTTCCTATCTTTATTCCTTTTATTTCTTTCTCTTATCTAATTGCTGTGGCTAATGTTTCTCCAGTAGGTTGCCCTGGGGCTCTCTTCTCAAAGATAAGTCTTACTTTGAGCCTGAGAAATGTGTGGTCTTGCTGATTCTTGATATGCCATTAAGCCATTTTTTCTATTGTCCAGATCCAAAGTACTTGGCTTTTTAAAAATGCTAATCTTTTCAAGCACCAAGGT